CACTCTAAAACTCCATCTGTTCTCTAGGAATTGATCTAGCTTGAGTGATCTACTCCCTTAGTGTCTTTGCAAAGAGTGTAGAGCTTGGCTTGGGCTTCCTATCAATCCGAAAATCTTGGGTTTTGGAGCATTTCGAGATTTCTTCATCTTCTTCCTTGGAGCTCTGAATTTGAGGTAGGGATTCCTACTCATCTTTATGAGCTTTAACCTAAATGTTGAGCTTTTTTGTATAAATGATTTGATTTGGGAAGTTAGGGTTTGTAATGTGTTATATTAGAAAGAGGGGTTTTGTTCTTTGATTCAAGCATATGTGTTTTGGGTCAAAAAGGGGAGGTTATTGATGTTGTTGATAATATTTGGACCTTTGGGTCAATATTGAGAAAAGGGGGAAAATGCCATGTTTGGGTATATTTAGGTCATTAGTATAATTAATGACATTTATCATGGAATTATGAAATTAAGTTGGAAATAACGAAATTGGCATAATACGGGATGGAATGGTGGAGTTGGATTTATTAATCACTCACCTTTGAGAATTGTTGATAAATTATCTGTTGATGTAATTATTTTCTGTTTAGAAATAATTGTTTTGGGCTATTGGTGGAGGATAGTCTTGATTGTTGTAGACAGTGCATGATGATTAGGCAAACTAAAACTAATCAATTGAATATGTCATCGAATATGACGGTTGGAATAGTACATCAAATTTATGTATTGATTGATTATGTATATGATATGTGTTTATATACATTATGTTGTGTGGGAGGAGATAGGGGATGTACTCCACGGTTTAGGGGAAGATAGGGGATGGACTCCTAAACCGGGTATTGTTGGGGAGGAGATAGGGGATGGACTCCACCGATACAGCAAATATGAGTATCTATTGAAGTATTGATACAGTAAATCTGTGTATCATATATGAAGTACGAAAGTGTTTTATTTGAGATTAATACAACAATTAGGTGTATCTAATGTGAAGTATGAAGTGTTTACTTTGAGTCATTATCTCAATTGAAATGGAAGTATTGTTGATATGAGATGTAATCTCATTTAAATCGTTTGGCCAGGTTCTGAGCCATGGTTATGAATTGAGAAATTGGATAAGAAATGGAAAATAGAATAAAACATGGACACATTTGTCATGTAATTGAAATGGGTTATGAATTGATTTATGTGAGTTAAACATTTATCAAATGCTAATGTTTTAGTTATTGTTCATATTATGTTTAGCATATCTCTACTGAGCGTTGGCTCACCCTATATGAGACATCATTTTCAGGTACAGGTATTATGCCACCTCCAAGGACGTAGCTTGGAAGGCTTGAGGCTATTTGACTCTTTTTTTGTTGTTTTTGTTGTATTACATGTATATCAAGTCAAGGGCTTATTTGTGTAGAGTTAGTACTCTCTTTTTGTAACCAAGTGTTGACTTGGAAAGTTGTAAACCCGTAGAGCATTTACTTTTGATGTCAACATGTAATACTTTTGGGCTAAATACTCTTATGAATAGAAATATGATTATTTCTCTTATGTTTATGGATGTCGCGAATGCATGAATTATGGATTTATTTTGAGGGCGTTACAATTTTACTTGTAGGATGAAACCAATGTCTCATTCCAAATATTGCATTTACTTGGTCCAACTCATCCACATCATCTAAAACAAGAAGAACATTTTTATAGCTTATAGCATCTTTAATCTTAATGATTCCCTCATCAACATTGTGTATTTTTTCTATTTTTCGCTTAAAAATATCTGAAAGAAGCTGTCTTTGTAAACAAACCAAACCATTGGATTGTTTTGAAGTTTCTCTAACATTTGCAAGAAAACTACTACCTTCAAATCTATCGAAGTTTTGATTATAAGCAGTTTTTGCAATGCTTGTCTTCCCAATTCCATGCATCCCACATATCACCATTATGCCAACATTGTTTGACCCTTCTTGTAACCACGAATTGATGTCTTTTACACGAGATTCTATACCTGTTACATAGGGAGTGACACTCAAGACCGTACGATCCAATTTGTTAGCAATCTCTCGAACAATTATCTTGGATAAACTTTGACTCATGCCTACAAATCCTGAACAAAAGACAAAATAAAACAAAATAAGCATTAAAATATGATGCTTGATTTTTTAACATTGCCCATCTAATATAATCCTTAGAACTAAATACATGAGATTGATTTGAAATTGAAAGAATCACATAATTGGAACATGAGAGAGAGTGAGAGAGTCTTGCAAGTTTAACTTGCATTGTCAATAACTATAAATTGTGTTGTTTTAGCCAGCTCTAAAATGAAAAGTAAAATTAAAAGCACAATAGTGTCATGAGAATTTAGTATGTTGACAATTTCTATAGACAAATGGTAGCAATGCACTGATATGTTAGGTTGAATGTGAATGTTGCAATTAGGAAGATCAACACAAACCCAATGCAATCATCACTCCATACTCACATAGGCATATTCCATTTGTATTTGGACACATGTTTTAAATTTAAAAAAATTTACCTATAAACAATTTCCTGTTCCTGAATGGTCGTGTTAGAAAACTTGTGAGAAACATGACCATGAGCCAAAATTCCAAGGGCCTAGCTTGAATGCACTCAAATCCCCGCTCGAGCTGAGCTTGAGTTGCAAAGGAGAAATCCAATTCAAGGCCTCATTCATTGTTCTAAAAGTATTTTGGATTGTTGCTAGCAACAAGTAGTGTGAGAGAGAGTAAGTGGTGTGAGAGGTGAGGAAGATGAGACTTAAAATACAATAGTGAGCGGGCATTTATGGGGCTTAGCGTTTAAAGACTCAATTACTTTTGAGCTGCGTAATGATGTCGTGTTATGGGTACTTTCATCTCATCATTGTACTCTATTCTATATTTTTGGGCTATTGGTGGAGGATAGTCTTGATTGTTGTAGACAGTGCATGATGATTAGGCAAACTAAAACTAATCAATTGAATATGTCATCGAATATGACGGTTGGAACAATTTTGGTGTATGACAATATAATTTTTTGTGTATGACATGTTAGTGACACATCTTTTGTAAAGCATACATATTTTTGGTGTATGACAATATAATTTTTTGTGTATGACATGTTAGTGACACATCTTTTGTAAAGCATACATATTTTTGGTGTATGACAATATAATTTTTTGTGTATGACATGTTAGTGACACATCTTTTGTAAAGCATACATATTTTTGGTGTATGACAATATAATTTTTTGTGTATGACATGTTAGTGACACATCTTTTGTAAAGCATACATATTTTTGGTGTATGACAATATAATTTTTTGTGTATGACATGTTAGTGACACATCTTTTGTAAAGCATACATATTTTTGGTGTATGACAATATAATTTTTTGTGTATGACATGTTAGTGACACATCTTTTGTAAAGCATACATATTTTTGGTGTATGACAATATAATTTTTTGTGTATGACATGTTAGTGACACATCTTTTGTAAAGCATACATATTTTTGGTGTATGACAATATAATTTTTTGTGTATGACATGTTAGTGACACATCTTTTGTAAAGCATACATATTTTTGGTGTATGACAATATAATTTTTTGTGTATGACATGTTAGTGACACATCTTTTGTAAAGCATACATATTTTTGGTGTATGACAATATAATTTTTTGTGTATGACATGTTAGTGACACATCTTTTGTAAAGCATACATATTTTTGGTGTATGACAATATAATTTTTTGTGTATGACATGTTAGTGACACATCTTTTGTAAAGCATACATATTTTTGGTGTATGACAATATAATTTTTTGTGTATGACATGTTAGTGACACATCTTTTGTAAAGCATACATCTTTTGTAAAGCTTTAACCCACTTTTTGTAAAGTTTTAACCTACTCTTTTGGTGTATGACAGTATAACTTTATTTCTATTTTTTGTTCAGTGTTTACACTTTTTTTTACTGCCTTTTATATTTTGATATGCAATATAACTTTAAATCTTAAATGTTTGTTTCTTAATTTGCATTAAGATTAGGGAGAGTTGTCATTTTATTTGAGTTTTGTAGAGCGTGTAATACAAGCAAAATTGTTGTAAGTTCTTTAAGAAGAAAAATATTTCAATATATTTTTTCAGTATCTTTATCAAAAAATGACATAAACTTTATAAATTTCAGCATAATACGTATAAATTATAACTGCATTTTAATTTTAAAATTATTTACACCGTGCCTTTAGGCACGGGCATACGCTAGTATATATATATTACGGGAGTACATTCAGAGGGGGCGTGGGTTTGGGGTGGCACCTCCATTTATTTTTCTAGTCTTAATAACTCACACACCACAGCCACATGTTGCTAAAGAAGTCTAAACCCATTCAATACCTCCAAAGGGCCGCACCAAAAAGTCAAAGCATCTCTCAACAGTAAGTAATGTATATGAAAATTTAGATAACCTGACCTTTCACCTGCACATACAATTAAAACTACAGACATTCTAAGTTCCAAGTTAAACCTCTCAATGTACTAGAAACAAGCTAACTATCCCAATTAGTTACAATAACCCACATGGTCGTGTGAACCGGTAATAGACAAGAAAACTCACTTTAAAGAATTAGTCATGATGATATTATTTGAATTCATCGATCCTACTTATATATTCAAGATCACCTATTCAAACTTCCAATATGAAATGGGACTGTTCCACTTACTCTAATTAGAAAGCCTAGAGGGCATAGGCCCTAGAACCTTGGGCTGAGATTGAAGCTTATGGATGCTCTCTAGGACAAGATTATGAGCAAAATCTTTTGATCAAAATTTTGACCAATTCAAATTCATTTGACTTATTTGAATTCAAATTTTTGCCAAAATATTGGTTTACTTTAACACAGATGCTTTCTTTGGCATGCCTTTTTCTTGTTCTACAAAATAAGCAAAAAAAAATAAATAGTAGTGTGTTCATACCAAATAAACAAACAAATAAATAACTAGTGGATGGAATATAACAACCAAATAAATACAAATAAATAAATAATAATGAATCGAACATTGAAACTTCTGGTCTTCACTCTCAAAACAAGATCATAATATGCCCCAATATGGCTGGGAGTACACACCCTTCTTCCAAGGAGTTGAAAAAGGATCTATGCGCGGGTCAAAATGTCCTCAAAAATGAAAAAGAATTTTCTTGTTTGCTAACCATCGTAGACAAATATCTCAAAATCACCAATCAAAAACCTTCCTCTCACGCTAATGTCTGACACTTCCATTGTGCCCATAGTTCTGCAGCAAGTGTAAAAGCCTGGCATACATTTTGAAGGAAGACAACTAACTAAACTTTTCATTATACTTAAAATCCTGAAATAGAGTCTAGCCCTATGAAATCAATCGTGATTGCATAGGAAGTAGTCCCATGTCCTCATCCAATACGCTGATAAATCAATGACATTCTGGTGACAAGGATCATTGTTGTGGTGTTGGCTGCCATTGCTTTTTAGGCTGACATAAGAACATGAATTCCAAGTTCCTTTACCCAAAAAGCTTCTCCTGCATCCATTGAGACATCCACTTCATCATCATCTTCCATTAACTGATTCAAAATCATTCCTATGACTACTGGAATATACATCCACTGCAGTCCTTTGCTCTTCCCAACTACATCGGCACCACTCATACACTTCAAAAGGCCAGATGTTCACATCTTCAGTTCACATGACCTGCACATAGAAAACACAAACATTCAGATTAGCAATGAAGGAACAGTAAAAGACATTGAGGATTCCCTACTCTTCTTGCTAACCAGCTGGAAATCTCACCTTGCGAAGAAATATGCTTAAATATCACATTGATACAGTTCCTCTGCAATGGAATTGACAACTTTAACTTCTAACTGAACACATACAACATAATGAGAGAGAGAGAGAGAGAGCACTTACTGGAGCTTTCTTTCTGTACATGTTACTTCACTGAACAGTTCCAATGCAATTATTGCCATGGATTCCAACTCAGCCAAAGTGAAATTTTGATAATTTCAGTGCATGTCTACAATTAAGTTGAAAAATACCCTCAACCACTTTGCTGCAATAATGTTTCACTTCCATATATAGACCATGTTAGGCATGGATTCCAACTCAACCCTTTAGATTCAAATCTTGCAACAACGATAGAATACCAAGAGCCCCCCAAGATAACGTGACAACATTATTTGCAGTTCACATGATGCATGCTTCCTAACCAGTATCATGAAGAAGGCCAATAATGTTCATATCGCAGTTTAAACTATCCAATGATTGAGTGAGTAATCAATTTGTTCCATCTGCATGAAGCACTTTGAACGACTCCATCTTGCCCAAGTCAGAGGGCAGCCCATCCCGCATTGAGCATCCACTAAGAATGAGTTCAAGGGATTTGACCAGAAAAACTTTCTTTGGAAGCTTCCTTAGATTTTTACAGCCTTCAAGATTCAACAAAACAAGGGTCCCTAATTCCCCAATTGATTCATGAATCCCAACCAAATTTATGCAATATTTAAGGATCAGTCTCTCAAGATTAGGAAGCGGTGAGAAGTCAGGGAAATTGGTAAGGCTATAGGAATAACTGAGATCAAGGATTTTTAATGATCTGAGCAACTGTCACAAAAAAGTAAGAAATCAGTCACTACAAGAATTCATATGGATCCCAAAAATAAATAAATAAATAAATAAATAAATAAATAAATAAATAAATAAATAAATAAATAAATAAATAATAATAATAATAATAATAATAATAATAATAATAATAACAACAACAACAACAACAATAACAACAACAACAACAACAACAACAATAATAATAATAAAATCAACAAAAACAGGATTAAAAAAATTGAATCATACCTTGGTTCTCTTCCAGAGTTGTTCCAAGCTACTATTTTGCATCTCAAGGACAACCAGGCTATCCAAAGTAAAATCATTTGGTATAAATTTTAAAGAGAATCCATGCCAACACAACCATCTTAACTTCATAGGAAATTTTTGATATCCGCCACTGAGTCTTACATTATTAAGCTGAAGTAGTCTTAAATTGTGCATCTGTGAAAATGCATCAGTTTTCAAATCATCTTCATCTTATTCTGAAAATAATTCTGTAAAGGCAGGAATAACACGGAGAAAAGAGAATAAGCCTCAGCGACGTCACTTCAATGAATTGCCTGCGTTAAACATTGTATGTACTGCAAGAAAATCTTCATTTTGGGATTGTGCACCGCTTGCATTCTTGGCTGGCATATCTTCTAAGTTGAGGCTAAGGCCTTCAATTGTTGTTGTTCCCTAATAAAGTTGAGTTGGAAAAATAGTCACTACAATGGAGAGAGAGAGAGAGAGAGGGAAGCATGATTCTTATAGTTTTATCCCTCAACACATTGAAGGCGTCCTTGAAACACCACACTCTGCTGCGCTTTCCAGGTTCCTTTTGTGATTCCTGGCGAACAATTTCTCTACCCATGTCTCTAAATAATTGGTGCATTATTAGCTTGTTATCTTTATTAACTTCTATGAGACCTCTACGAGTGAGATTTTGAATACCAATTGTTATGGGGAAATCACATTCCTCTGGTATTTTAACTGTGTAATCTTTGTCCTTTCCAACAAAGAAACAAGCAATATCAAGGAATATATTTTTTTCATGATCATCTAAAGAATCATAACTTATTTTAAGCACATTATGAATTTTCTCGGGAAAATGTGTTCCTAATTTTGCTAATGCACTTTCCCATACACCAATACTTTCGCCAGACAGATAAGAACCCAAGACTTCCAGAGCTAGTGGAAGGCCACCATAGTGGTGTATTA